ATAAAAATATAAGCGAAGAATTACAGAATTAGTGGAAATGATTTCGGATGGAAACAGAATTGTGCCACCGCGAATTATCGACTCTGGAAACGTACATCCGGATCTATGTGCACTCTTGCGAGACTGTTGGTCCGAAAATCTCGAAATCAGACCCTCCATACGACGCGTCCGGCTCAACACCGAAATGGTTCTTAAAGCGTACGTGTATTGTTGCGAATTTCCAATAATTGCTAGAAGCTTCATGTAAACCTACTCAGTTTTTCCACTCCTTCCCCTTCCCCTTTCCGCTGCTCCCGCTCCATCTTTAGCGGTCTGGAAGAAACGAAACGAGGCACTCGGGGATATGGCGCAAATGCTAGTAAGTGCCACTCGCTTGCAAGGCGTTCGATGACTTCCAGTGTTCCTCAGAAGCAAACTGGTGATGGCTTTGACCTGTATACATTCGCTAGTATTAATTTACCGCCGGAACTAATGACGAATCATTGAGAGTTTGGTTGTCGCTTTGGCAGAATCGAAGTCTCGTACTTCTGCGCGATAGCAGCATTACTTTCCCTAGTCCAAAAAATCTAGAAAGTATTTTCAGGAAAGGCAGTTTAGTGGATCAAATGATGTTCATGATGGAGCAGTATGCCAACAATTTGGAGAAACTGGTAGCTGAACGAACGGGAATGCTCGAAGAAGCAAATATCCGAGCTGATAAATTGCTCTCCCAACTACTGCCACCGTAATCCTTTCTTCTGTAACTCTGGCCCTTCTTAATCATATCCCGTTATGCAAATTTTGCTCAGGATATTGTTAGTAGCGAAATGTAAGTGCAACTGAGTTACAATCAAGCCGTAGTGAGTTTATGATACAACTCTCACATAATAAATCTAGCTAGGGGATTTCCTGACTTTCATTACCAGCGATTTGAAAACAGTCTCACTAGCGGCTGATAGATTCAAATTCCCCTAATTACGTCTTTAACTTTTTTTGAAATATCATCTGGAATCGGCCTCTATTATGAAACTAGCAAAACCTTCCAAATGCTGACAAGACTATGGATGGTACCCTTCTTCTTTGGGCAAAAGAGCTGAAGGTGGTTTAATATCCTACAAGAATCATCAACGAATCAGCAAATCGTAAAAGGATTATTTTTCCAGTTGATGAGTTTCAATTAACTCATTGGGCTTGAGAACTGGTGCTACTCACCAACATGGCCGGTACTTCTAGACAGTAGATATCACGTGCGAGCGTCCAATGAAAGTTCACTAGATTATTCCTGAAAATAAAAAAAAGCACCAGCTCGCTCATTCCTGTAATTAAATTCATTAATTATCAGATACGTTGCGAATGAGCTGAAGCTGGGGCGATCAGTTCCGCCAAGATTATTTGAAATGGCAACAGTGCTATTTTCGGATATTGTCGGCTTCACAACCATCTGTTCTGCTTCAACGCCACTCGAAGTGGTCACTATGCTAAATGGCTTATACAAAGGATTTGATGAATGCATCACCCGTTACGGCGCTTACAAGGTTTTTGTAAACTTAATGTATTTCTGAAGAAATGTTGGTGGCGGAGGGAAGAAATGATGGAGGGAAATGAAAAAGCAGCAACTCATCTGCATGCTCACATATTTTTTCTAGGCGGAAATGTGCTAAAAAGGATTTATCTGAAGTTCACCACGGAAGTACAGTCGTTACAAGTTTGAAACAGAGTAGGTTACCAGCTGAACCAATGGCTAGAAGAAATACGACATAGCGAGTGGTCAAAGCACAATAACTCAGTAAATGAACAAGCCCCAAATTACCGTGCTGATTTCAGGTTGAAACAATCGGCGACGCATACATGGTTGTTTCCGGGATTCCTGAAGAAAACGGAACTAAACATGTTCAGTGTATAGCTGATGTAGCGCTCGATATGAGGGAAGTCAGTAGCATCATAGTTTCTGGAATAAATACTAAACATATTAAGCTTGTTTCGAAATTTACGTAGTGCATGACGTCTTTCGGGGATCAGGGATGGAGAACGGGGTTTGACGGAGAGAGGCATTTTTCGGGCAGCGAGGAATTGTGGTGCGCTAAAGTAAAATGAGTGACACTGGATATGGCTATTTGATAGAAATAATATTTAAACTGCCTAATTGGGCGTATGGAACTATTTCAATAAGTTTACTAACGTGCAGTACCTAAACTGATTGTCTGGGAGGTTATTGATATTCGTGGAATAAAATGTCAACAGAAATAAAATGCGGACACACGGACACATGTACAGATACACGCGTGCACATACACACATATATATACAGCTTCTAGTGTCAATACGCGTTTTCGCATTAGCATAAATATGCAGAAATTACTTCCTAGTGTAATTATTTAGGAATTTACTCAGTTTGTCCCGTCATCACTACGATATATCGGGGCTGAAATATCATTTTTCATTTTCCAATTCATTATATTGTGCACAAATTTCAGTATTTGCAAGACTACCGCGTGCCACATCGACCCGAAAAGCTACAGTGTCGTTGGGGTTTTCATACAGGCCCTGTTGCTGCCGGAGTTGTTGGACTGACCGCACCTCGCTACTGCTTGTTCGGTGATACGGTTGGTTCACTTCAGTTGTTCAAGTTGTAAGATTTCGCAGCAATAGATTCTGCTAGTGACAGGATACTGTAGGGTGTTTTCGACGCATTCCAGAAATTTGCAGCGAATGAGCGTGTGAGGGGGAGATTAGCATTTGGAGATTAGCTGTTTTTGACTGGTTTAATTTGCTGTGGTTACCATATGACTGCCAAATCTCTATAATTGTGGGTGGGGTCATCTTTGTAGATGAAATTGGTTGAGTAATCGCTTCGCCTCTTCTATATCATTGCGTAGTCTTGATTATGATAATGCTTTTATCAGAAGATTCTTCGATAGCATTAAAAAAAAGTGATTCTTTGCTCAGCGAGAAAATTTCTAAAATTATCATCACCATCTTGATAGAGATTCCGCATCCGTTTTTTTTGCTATAAAATCGCGCTTGAGGTTAACGAAGCATCACGAATGGAAAGCACAGGACTACCCGGAAAGATACAAATCAGCTCGGAAGCAAGAAACTTTCTGCTTATTCATTATCCACTTTATATTTGCCAAGAACGTGGAAAAGTTGAAGTTAAGGTGAGACATTGAGAAATTCAGACTTTGAAAGTAATATTTTTTTTTTTTGATAACCGAACAGTGGATAAAAAAACTGCGAAAATTACAAAATAGAGCACTGAGAAAAATAAATGGCGCTGACGTTCCTCGGAAAAGTCAGTCGCGTCCTACCTCCTTCTATCCTGCTGGCCAAGTCGAAATCGACTGCAAGATATGCGAATTGTTCTATCGCAGAGCGGAGAAGGCAATTTCATTTAGGTACAATCGCAAAAATTTTGAGGAAAAATTTGGCCAGAACGGTGGAAGATTCTACGACAGCAGAAGTTTGGACAAGATTCCTCAAAACTGCATACTTGCGCTGTAGTCGGCTTTTCTTTTTAAATCAGCTGCCGTGTCTTGGAGGATTCAAGTTCGCTTCTGGAACAACCAACCCCTCTGTGATTTGCTAATTTACTTCCGTGGTAAATCGATCCAGACGCATGCCGCAGAGTCAAATTCGCTATCATCTTTCCTCTAAAATGCTGTTTAGAGAGTGAATAAGGAAGGGTTTTTATTTCGACTTTTGAATCGTACCTCTAAATATTCAAATGTGCTCTTAGTTTTGCATTTTTAGGGCAAAGGATTGCTTCTCACTCACTGGCTGGAAAAGAAATCGAGCAATCAAGTACCAACACTTAATATACCTTTGTGATTAAATAGAAAGTATTTTTTGTCCACGTATTTTTTGCTGTTTGCACCATAGTTGTTTCACTAAGTATCCGGCACTACAGACTGAGTCTTCAAGAACCCTGGACTGCTAAACTGAGGCCATCTCACGGCTTCGGATGGTGCAGTAAAATCGGCCTGGGTATAAAAGCCTGATATTCCAAAATTATCAGAATAATGTGGATCGAAATTATCGAGACCCGCTCACCTAAAAGCTTCTCATTCTCACCTTTCATTTCTTTGTGCTGAGTATCAAAGCAGGGCTTTTCAAAAAAGTCACTGCGTTTTTGAAATGTACTGAGAGCACAAGCTGCCATTGTATATCTTTTATATCATTTCTTCAGAGGCCACCCGACTGTCTTTCACGCAAGTACCATCCCGTGTTGCGTAGCATTACTAATGTAAAGCAAGCAAAAGATTTCCTCCACTTTGTCCTTTTAATGCAGTGATGCCCGGTTTAGTATCTGTTGTACCAACTAATGTCGAAATGATTAATAGTCTAATCTGTTGTAAACAATAGTGTGTGTAATGGCCTTTTTAAATCACTGTTTTTAGCTGTAATATTCTGAACAATTAAATTGGTGTAAAAAATTACATTTAACAGTTTGACAAAAAAAAATCATAGTGCGCCAAACTGATAACTTTTCAACTGCTTGAACTAATGCTGCATCGTCAGTTGGATAGTTTGCTAAATCTCTGGGGGGATTTTCAGCTCAACGGTTCTCCCGATAAAGCACCTGACAAGGCCTCAATCGTTTTGAGATTTCTTTGATGCTGCTGAACGTCATTCTCAAAAGATCGCGGCGACTTACCTGGTGGGCTAACAGAAGGTAAGATGACGCATGTAAAATGTGCATGCACGCACTTGATCCAGTTTATTCTAAGGTGCTAAAATTATTTGAAATCTTGATAACCTGACACGCTATAAACGAAACAGAGACAAGGCTCTATACTGCCAAGAAAGACAAACTTGTTTTAAGTGCAAAAGAAAAAAAATCAAAGAACTGAAGACAAAACTGGCAAAATCTTAGCTGAAAAATGTCAAAATTTACAGGAAAAAAAATGAGTTTTTGTGACAAAAAATTGACCGCGAAACAATAAATCACAAATTTCAACCAAGAAAAACCATGTGACTTAAAAAGTCCCGAGCAAAGGCAATTTTTTGTCAGCAAATACCTCTTCGATCACAGGTCACAACACAAAAATTCTCTTTGTTCTGAAAGACCCATTGTTTTCACAGGAGAAAAAATCACTGCAAACTAATGCTTTTGTTAGCAGGAAAGTGCGTTCTTTGGCGCGCACAGCATCTTTTCCAGCGTTCTTTTGGCTGCGCATGCTGTAATAAGCAAGAATTTGATGTACTGGAAATGCGGAATAAGTTTCTTTTTTCATAAAATTAATAGCAAACGAAGCCTCTGTGTTATAAATCAATGACAATTTCCGCCTCATCTTGCAAAAAATAAGATTCCTGAAACTGCGCTTGAAAGATTTCATTTCGGCCAAAAAAATAACTAACTTTGTGCACCAAAGAAGTGCATGATTAGATGTTTCTAAGATTACGTTTCGCAAAAAGTAATTTTAGATAAGATTTGTAAAAAAGGTTTTGAGGTTAATATTTCGCATACGAAATCAGTAGAGCATGAAAAAAGGAAAAATTATTAACGATCTTTTCTTGTAGATATGGTACCACATAGCTTAGTATTAGTAACGTCCGAGATGAGGCGGCGATGCTCAGCGCACAATAGTGACATCTCGAAATAGGATCAATAAGTCAAAACTGAAGAATGACTGTAACTGTTACCATTATTGTTACCGCGAAGATTAAAGTCATTATTACTATTATTACTAGTGATATTTTGTCTTATCACTGTTTTTACTATATTATTATTCCATTTCACTGCGATAACTTCATAGTCATAGGCTATGAATTCCAAAAATTTTCTGCTTGCACCACGTATTATTGTTGAAAAGCTTTCATTGCGCTGCTCAGTATACCTCCTGATGCAGGCGGCGAGACAATAAATTGCAGTCATCGTCTTCGGGAAGAAAGCAAAATGGGGTTC